AAAACCAAAGAGAATTAAGTACCAAAATCATAACCTCATGCACAAAATCCCCTATTACATGATGACAGGAACGAAGCATGAACTGCTAAAAATGTATGTTTGGGTAGTAAGTGTGTGTGAGAAGCACAGAACAGTGAATGGGCATTTGCCAAGCTCACAGAACAGAAAAACCAAGAGGCCTTGTAGGCAAAGCTAAGAAAATCTGTGCAAAGGATGGGTTTACCCACTTATAATCGCAGGAGTGCCTGGTCCACACTTAAGGGGAAACTGCAGGGAACAGGATCCAGACTAAAAGGGAAAGGCACAACAAAATCCGCAAACGAAAGGGTAACTGCAGAGATAAATGGGGAGGGCACAGTGAGGGATTCCTTCCTAGCTAAGTGACATACTTTAAACATATAAAAATGGAAGGATCTCTGTATATTTGGAAAAGCTAAATAAACAAACATTGCATAAGTAAGTAATGTAAGTAAGTAATAAAATAGTAAAGTAAATAAACAGTAAAGAAAATGATAGAGCTCCAACAATGCAAAGGATTGGTATGGAAAAGTAACTGAGTGTGACCATGAAGGTAATCAGCGTGCACCACAGGACTTGTCAAGCCAGTGAGTGGGTAAGGGGGAGACACTGCTCCATAGGAGCAACGCAGAAACCACTGACCAGATCACAGATGTGAAAATACAGGTGAGGGATGGATGGCTCAGCAGATGCAGATGCTGCCAAACCAGCCTGGCCGCCTGAGTTCAAATCCCAGCATCCACAGAACTCCATAAAGTTGGCATGCACAAACATATACACATGCATACACATGTACACACACACACACACACACACACACACACACACACACACACACACACACACTAAAAGAATATGAAATCAAAGGGGGTAAAAATCCATCCAAAAAGACAGGGTTGGCTGAGCATGGCAGCACAGGCCTGTAATGCCGGCACTCAGAAAGCAGAGCCAGAGTCAGGAAAATCAGCACTTGATCAAGGCCAGCCTGGTCAACACAGTGAGTTCTGGGCCAGTCCAAGCTAACAGTGAGACTATAACTAAAACGAAAAGACTAAGTCAGCTAAGTTGGGCATGAGGGCACACCTGTAACACCAGTGCTTCGGCAGCTGTAGCAGGAGGGTCTCAAGTTCAAGGCCAGCCTGGACTACACAGCCCTGTCACTGAAAAAAGGCCAAGCTACAAGAAATAAAGTTACTTAAAACAACAGATAGTACCATACAGAGAAATAAAACATGTAAAGGTTGAAAATTTCAAAACTGAAAAATATAAAATTTTGAAGGAAAGTGGCGAATACTGAAGATGAAGAAAAGCTAACACATGGAAAATAGACATCCCAGAGGAAATATAACGAGAAATAAAACAAGCATACAGTAATTAGATGACTTCTGGCATATAAACAAAAACATCTAAATGACATAATAAAATATCAGAAATCTTAAGAATAAATGACACTTGAGATACACTCAAGTAAAGTTAGCTGGGTATCCACACAAAAACAAAACACCAAAAACTCAAATGACTTCAATGGAAAAAAAGTTAGACTGTCCTCAGACTTTGTCCGTCACTAGCACTTGCACAAGACCTTGGAGCAGCCTACTTGTATACCCCAAAAATGGAGTGTGAGCTACTGACTGGTCAACCTTGGTGGTCTACTTGACAGGCTCTAGGATGACTGACAAGCCTTTGGATATGCCTGTGAGGGATTCTCTAGATGAGCTTAACTGGGGTAGGCAAAGTCACTCTACATCTGGGCGGCATGGTTCCATGCCATGGCACAGGTCCTTCACTCCATAAAAAGGGGAAAGCAAGCTGAGCACCAGCATCCATCTCTCCCTGCTTCCTGAGCAGAAGCACATGACTGAGCAACCTCCAGCTCCAGCTGCCAGGCCTTCTCTGCTATGGTGAGCTACTCCACAGACTAGTGACCCAAAATAAACCCCCTTCCTTAAATCGCTTTTGTTGGATATTTTATCCCGGTAACATGTAGAGTAACTTAATAAAGACACCAAACTTCAACAGTAGAGTCACAAGTAAAAGTCTTCAGCATTCTAGAACTTAAGGAACATAGTTCTACAAACTCTCCCTGTGACCCACTAAGAAACAAGCTTCAGAAATCCAAACTAACAACATATACCTTGGCATGGGGACTGGTGGCAACCATCACATGGATACTTATAGAATTAAGACTAAACTATAGTTGAGAGAAGATGGTGTGTAACAACACTGTGTTCTGATTCTATACATACTCTCCAGATACTCTTGAACTAGTGGGCTAGAAAGTTAGGAGGTTTCTCATTCCTTCTGATCCTTTTGTCAGCTAAGGTTTGCAGGGTTACAGGCTTGGGCCAAGAAACATTTTTGGATCAAACTGGCAGTCACTGCCAAAGACATGGCTGAGGTTGACACAGCCTTCATCTATGAGGTAGAGGAGTTGACTGATGACAGACAACAAATGAACAAATAGGTGACATTGCTCGGTGAACAGCACAAGTGACCTGGAAATAAAGAATGTGAGTGTGGTGGTCTGAAAAAGAATGACCCCCACAGGCTCATCTATTTGAATGCTTGGTCAACAGGGGTGACACCATTTGAAAGGATTAGAAGGAATAGTGCGGCCATGTTGGAAGAAGTGTGCCACTGGGGGTGGGCTTTGAGGTTTCAAAAGCCCATGTCAAGCCCGTGTCTCTCTCTGCCTGCAGGTCAGTATGGAGCTCTCGGCTACTTCTCCAGCACTATGCCTGTCCTGCTGGCCGCCATGCTTCCTGCCCTTATGACAATGGACTAAGCCTCTGAAACTGTAAGCATGTCCCCGGTTAAAAGTTCTCATTTAAAGAGTTGCTATGGTCATGGTGTCTCTTCACAACAATAGAACAGTGGCTAAGACAGTGAGAATGAACAGTGTTGCACCAGACTGAAGATGAGGGGTGAGTACATGTACATGTGTGTTACAGGTACCAGAACATATATAAATTAAAATAGTCATTACCTGTAATGGAATGCCAACACAAACAACACACACACACACACACACACACACACACACACACACACACACACACACACGTATGTATTTCCCAGCTCTGTCTACTAAGAGGAGCAGACACAATGATACTGCTATAGCAATGAACTCACCTAGCATCTATCTCAGCTTCTGTAAACCACTGTACTAAAAGGACTCAGGCATGATGGGATCTGATTTCTTTGGGTAGGAAATATAAAACTCTTTTGGGCTACAAGGTAAAGGGGCTACAAGGTAAAGAAGTTCAATAAATTATGGAGGTATGTCAAAAAGACTTAGGAGCCGGATTTAAAAGGACACCACCCGAGCACCAAAATGATGATGATAAGAGGTTCAGTGGGAATCCATGAATCCATTCAGGACAGAAAGACTAAAGGGCAACTAATAAATGTAGAAAGAGTTATTGGAATTAAAACCCCCTTTTAAACAACTACCAGAACTTATTTCAGGAAAAAACAAACAAAAAAACAAACATCAGTGTATACTACAAAGAGATGGAAAGTTTGTTAAGGAATATATTTATATAGTTTCAATGATTTCTCCCACAAAATATTTGTAATTACAATGGGGAACAGTCAACTTTATAGTAGAAAAATGTGGCAATCAACAGTTGAACTGGGAGATTATGTGAGTTCACTAGGAAAGGCTGAATCAAAATCATGTGTCTCTTGATAAGTTATACCAAGTACAAAACATCACTTCTATGGTTTTCCTGCAAAACAACTGATATGAGAAAATGTCAAACAAACCCAAATTTCAGGGAATTCTATAAAATAGCTAACTACAGTCATCAAAAATGCCAAAGTCAAGAAACAAAAAGAATGATGATGTTTACAGAATATCCTGCCCCCCCCCCAAAAAAAAAAAAGTAACACAGGGTTGGAGAGATGGCGGCTAGGTGGTTGAGAGCACAGGGTGCTCTTACAGAGGACCCGGGTTTGGGTCCCAGCACCCATAGGTGGCTAATAACCATTCATAACGCCAGTTCCAGGGAAGCTGATGCCCCCTTTTGGTCTCTGCGGGTACCAATGAACACGGTGCACAGACATTCAAATAGGCAAGACACTCATGCACACAAAAATCTAAGGACAAATCTTTTTTAAATGTTTAAAAGGGCCACAGAGGCAGTTCAGTGGTGGGGAGTGCCTGCTGCTCTTGCCGAGGGCCTGGGTGTGGTTCCCAGCACCCACGTGGCTGTTCACAACTGCCTGTAACCCATTTCCAGGGGATCTGACACCTTCTTCTAAATGCTGAAGGCTCTCCAACACACATGGTGTAACTCACACAGACTTACACATATAAATATATATAAAAATCAAGTAATAAAAACATTTTTAAATGTTAAAACACAACACATGCCCCCCATCTTTATCATATGAGATACAATGGGTTCACTGACAGAATTTAAATGAATGCATGAACTAATGACCTAAATGTGATTATTATAATGGGGTTATGCGTGGATGTCTTTATCTTATAAAATATATGCAGAATTGTTCAGCAATGGGACAGCCACTGGTTCAGGGAATAAACAAACTGTATGTGTGTGTAAAACAGAGGATGACTATGGCAAAGAAAATTCATGAAAACCTGAACCCTAACTTAAACATTTTGGGGGTTCATGTTATTCAGGAGAGCCTTGCATTATTTTACAGTCAGCACTACGTAATTATAGGGATATGTCCTCCAGTGTCATTAGGCAGTTTCACCATTGTGGGAACACAGTATATTTGCACAAGCTCAGGCCCAGCTCTGCAAATATTATGCCATGGGATCTCAAGAACCAGGACTACAGCTAAGGAAGACAAAAACACAGGCTAAAAAACGTTTCAGCAAAGACTGAATGTTTACCTTAAATTGGAATGAACGGTATACACTCATAAACTGACTACCTTTAAAAAGACAACACACGCTGGGCGGTGGTGGCGCACGCCTTTAATCCCAGCACTCGGGAGGCAGAGCCAGGTGGATCTCTGTGAGTTCGAGGCCAGCCTGGTCTACAGTGCGAGATCCAGGACAGGCACCAAAACTACACAGAGTAACCCTGTCTCGAAAAACAAACAAAAGACAACATACTAGCTAAGCATAATGCGCATGCTTTAATCCCAGCTCTCAGGAGACAGAGGCAGGCAGTCATCTGTGAGTTCCAGGTCAGGCTCAAAAAATAAACAAACAAAAACAGACAGATGAACACACACACACATACACACACACACACACACACACACACACACACACACACACACACGCTGCATTTCCCAACCCTATGCTTTGAATAGAGCCCCAGACGATGAACAACCTAGTAGTTGCAGTGTTTCTAGTACCTGTCCTGTGATGTTGAAACACCATTTTCCACTAAAAGAAACCAAGATTATAAAACACAGGGTTAGCCAGGCAGTGGTGGCACATGCCTTTAATCCCAGCGCTTGGGAGGCAAAGGCAGGTGGATCTTTGTGGTTCAAGGTCAGACTAGTCTACCAATTGAGTTCCAGGCTAGCCATAGCTACATGGTGAAACCCTGTCTCAAAAAATGAAAAACAATGAAAACAAACAAACCTTTAGCATACATTTCCAATATGAACTGAGTATTTCTTTATAGACATGTTTCAAATAACAAACGAAGAAAGTACTTTCAAAAGTTGTGGAGCCAGTGATGAAAATGGTCATATGTTGGACATTTATAGGAGGCCACAAAATTTCTATGAATGGAGTTAAAGGCTATCTCTTCATTGTCTCATTCTTAGCTAAAAAATTGTTCCTGGCATGCTAGACATCTGGATTTACAGTTGGATATGGGACAGTGTTAAAATAGGCTTATATGGGGCTGCTTTAGGTTTTCAGTAGTTATGATGACAAATGAAAACTTTTCTATAATACTATGCATATAGACTCTCTGCCTAACAATGGCAGTACGGCAGGGTGTGTGTATGTGTGCACACACGCGCTAAACACTCCTTGGATCCACTAAGTTAAAAATCAGCACAGGGTTTAGGAAGAGGACTCAATCACCTGTACTGGGGGATGCTCACAACTGCCTGTAACTCCAGTTTCAGGGGATCTGAAACTCCCTCTGGCCTCCATGGGCTCCAGTACACACACAGGACTTGTAAACTTAAGCAAGCACACATATACATGTGTAAGTAAATAAATCTGTTGTTGTTGTTGTTTGTTTGTTTTTTTCAAGACAGGGTTTCTCTGTGTAGCTTTAATGCCTGTCTTGGATCTCACTCTGTAGACTAGGCTAGCCTTGAACTCACAGAGATCCTCCTGGCTCTAACTCCTGAGTGCTGGGATTAAAGGCGGGCACCACTGCCACCCGGCAAATAAATCTTTTTAATTAAAAAAATTGGGACAAATTCTACTACTCTGGAGCTCAAAATCCAGTTTTATTAATTAAAAAATGGAATTAGGAAGATCTTTATATTAGCAATTATTGCATTTATGAGAAAATAATGATTTAGAACTATTATCTACTTCTATGATAATGGGGGGGGGTGTCAAGCAGAAGCAGAAGGATCTCTGTGAATTCGAGGCCAGTCTGATCTACAAAATAAGTTTCAGGGCAGCCAAGGCTACATAGTGAGACCCTATCTATCTCAAATAAGAAAATAAGTCAAATAAGAAAATAAGTAAATAAATAAATAAACTTTATTCTATGGTTGACATGCTGAATCCTTTTACAGCAATAAATATATGGCCTAATAATCATTTTCACAGGTGAAATGAGCTTGTTGTCAATTCTCACTTGTAGGCATCTACATTCTTTGATAAAAATTGGTCATAATCATTATTATACACATTTTACAGTTAACTTAATTTTGGACATGCTTTATCTGCGGGCGTATCAATATAGAACACATTACATGTAACTATGAAAGTTTTATTTTGGGCTGGAAAGATGGCTCAACATTTAGGTGTACCGGCTGCTCTTCCAGGGAACCTGAGATCGATTCCCAGCTCCTGAATGGCGGCTCACAACCATCTCTAACTCCAGAGGTCCTCTTCTGCTCTACACACGCATACACGTGTACTCCCACACATGGGCAAACTCACACAACTAAATAAGTAAACAATTTTTTAAAAGAAATATGAGGCTCAAAAATGGAAGGTGGGCTGGGAGCATGACTAATTTGGTAGTGTGCTTGCCAAGCATGCATGAAGCTCTAAGTTTGACCCCCAGCAACCACACAAACCAGGTGTGGTGGTGCACATATATAATCCTAGCGGTGGAAAAGTGGAGGCAGGAGGATCAGAAGTTAAAGGTTATCCTCAGCTACCTAAGAGTTGGAGGCTAGATCCCATCTTAAAAAAAAAAAAAAGAAAAAAGGAATATGGAACTATGGAAATCACACTATCATTATTACATCCACCAGATACTTAATTCTCCTCTAGAATGTAAATGCCAAGAAAAAAGATTTTTGTCATATTATCTACTTACTCCCTAGTGCCTAAAATACTGCCAGGAACTAGGGAGATGGTTCAGCTCACAAGTGTCTGTAAACTGCAGTTGGAGGGGATCCAGTGCTCTCCTCCCACCTCTGAGAGCACCAGGCACACACATGGTGCAGACATACATACATACAGGAAAGACGTCCCAACACACAACATTAAAAAAAACAAAAACAAAACAAACAAAAAACCAAAATGCTCCATGGCACAGAGAAGTATGTGTCTAATAAATATCTGTTGAATAAATAAACTCTCATTGTTTAGAAGAGAAGTGGAGATTTATATCAAAAGCATAAATTCAAACCCAAAGTCAACTCAATGCTCTTTCCTCAGCACTCACATCTGAAACAGTTTTACTACTAATGGAAATTTGAAAGTCATTTTCTAACACTTAACTGGATGATACAGAAATAATTGTTTTAAATGTTCTCATCACTGAATTTTAATTAAGCCAATTAGGAAAAGAATAGAATGATCTTAAAGGAAATAGGATGTATAATGATTCAGACACACATGATGTTTAAAAAGCCTTATCAGTTTAGGTGAGACAAAAGGAGAAACAATTTTCAATTTTGTATTAAATACAAAGTAACAGGACAAGAAAAAAAGGCAGAAAAAAATTCATCATTTCTCATATGACTGAAAATAAACTAAAAGGATTACATTACATTAAGCAGGTAGCATGTACAGATTATCCATGCACTTAAACTTATCTGTTCATTCATTACAGCGGATACTGAATGAGCTTTTCTGTGGTTGTAAGCCATCATTTCATTCAAATTGCTACCATGTTCTTGAAAAGAATAAAAATGCTCTTCTCTTAAAAAAAGAAAAAGAAAAATCTATGCTTGCCAGACATGGTTGTACACACACACTTTTAATCCCAGCACTTGGGAGGCAGCAGCAGGTGGATCTCTGTGAGTTCAAGGTCTACACAGTGAGTTGCAGGCCAGCCAAAGATACAGTGAGTGAGATCTGTCTCATTAAAAAGAAAGAAAGAAAAAGGAAGGAAAGGAGGGAGGGAGGGAAGAAGAAGGCAAATAGAAAAGAAAGAAATCTACACTTCAAACTATCTTCCAATTACTATGAAAATCAGTGGTCAAGTGCACTTGTAGCTTTTGCAAAAGACCTGGGTTTGGTTTCAGCACCCACATAATGGCTCACAACTATCCTTAAATTCAGTCCCGGAGAATCTGATGCCCTCTTCTGACATCCATGGGCCCATGCAGGCAAAACACTCACACACATAAAATAAAGATAAATTGAAAAAAGCAAAACAATCCTCAAAACAGTAATACTGTATCCTTCTACTAAATGCTAAACCATATCCATTAAGCCAATATACAAATGTAACTCAGAGTATGAGCATTTGAAATGTGTGCTAGTCAATAACCACACTGAAAAGAACAGTCTCAACTAAAACATGGAAAGCAATAGCATCCTTCATCCATCTCGATATCAAACTTTTCTTCAAGGAAAAAGCTTGTTAGTTTATTAAAGTGTTTTATCAGATTACCTTCTTACTTGATAGGAAATACTAAGAGGATGAAAGTCCTGGAGTATAACTAGAATTTATTCTTGTAGTTCCCCACTCATCATAATGGAAGAATTATGGAATGAAAGTACAGTGTTTTCTTTTGCCTCAGTACAAGCAGATCCAAAGACCATCCAGTCAACTTCTGAGCTGTTAGTTTGGTAGTCATCACCCAAAAACTCCAATTTCCTGCTATAGAAAACCTCTATCAGGGTCTTTCATGAAGATTCCAGATGTTTCTCTCTCCTGAGTTCTTATTTAATTCCCATAAACATCTCCTGGGAATACTCTATGTAAAGACATTTTTTTCACAGAACAGTCACACTGCTTTTATTTTGGGTCACATCAACTCTGGGATGACATCTTCATTTCGCATATAATTAAAGCTTAGAATAGCTAAATATCTTGTCCCTGGTTATGGAGACGGCAGACAAAGTCTGCATCTGAACTGTTTTTAGACTACTCCACAATTACACCCTACCACTTCATTTGATAATTACCCATCATCCTTGTAATATCTTTGTACCTGACTTTCTCTCTTCCATTTCTTCATTTCCCCTACATTCATGACTTTCAGAGCAATAATGATGTTGTACTTTTACAGTGTCCTTTAGGAGATTCATTCCAGCTGTTTGCATGTCAGAAGCATGACCGGCTGTAAGTCTGGGCTAGTTTTAAAGATCCTTAGATGACTCCACTTGTAAAATGGAGAGGATAGTAAAAATTTATTAGATGTTTTTTATCAGCTCATTTTTTATCCCCAGAGTGCCATGGATCAGTACACTGTCACTGTGCATGAGTGAGAAAGGAAGGACTAGGCTGTCTACCTTGACTAAGGGTGCAAGCTGGCTGATGAAGAACCGGGCCTGCAAAGCAGGTTACCTTGCCTAGGGTATCTACTTCTTTAATGTTAGAATTGTTCCTCCAGGACCAGATGACAACTCATTGAAATAGAGCTACACAGTAGAAGGGATTCAAGAATAATTTCCTGGATATGGTACCAAAAGCCCAGACAACAGCAAAAATTGACCAATGAGACTGACTCCACGAAGCTCGAGCTCCCAATGACAACAACTGACAGGAAGGAAAGATGACCTACAGAAGGAGGGAGAAGATGCAAGCTATAAATGTCCAGGAGTTAATGTTCCAAATATATAAAAAGCCCATAACCACATCAATGAAAACAGTCTGATTTTTAACTAGACAAACAACTTAAGACATTTCTCCAAAAAATATACAAATGGCCAAATAAACACATGAAAATTGTTCAACATTATTCATCATCAGGGAAATGCAATGAAATATACAGTGAGGTACCGCCTAATAGTCACTAGAAGGAAGAGTCACTATGAAAACAAACAAAAACCGGGGGTGTCCTGTTGTATCAGACACTGGGAAACTGGAACCCAGTGCATGTTGTACAAAATGGTGCAGGCGCTCTGGAAAACAATGTGGTAGTTCCTCAAAAATCAAAATTAGAATTAATACATGACCCAATGATCGCACTTCTGGGTATATATGCAGAAGTGAAAATAGGCTGTAGACACTCATGCTCACAGGAGCATTATTCACAATAGACAAGAAGTGGAAGAAACCCAAACTGACAGGTGAGTGAATAAAAACCTATGATGTAGCGTGAGAAGGCTCAGACTGTGTCAACCCCTCCACTGTGTAGGGAGAGAACCTTCCCCCCCCCCCACAAGTCACCATCTGATCTTCACGCATGTGTTATGGCACATGTATGCATAACACTCCCCCACCCCCCCCCACACAATAAGTATCCACCCAAAAAAAATGTGATGTGAATGTGAGTGTGCACACTCACACCGATGCCCACGTGTATAAATAGTGGAGTGTTGTTTAGCATTTTTTAAAATGGAAATCTGTCGAATGTTGCAATACAGATGAACTCTGAAGTTACTAAGTGAAATAAGGCAGGCACACAGGGTCAAATTCTGTATGGTTTCTCTTAGATCGGATACTGATTAGTCTAACCTATGGAAAGGGGCAGTAGAGGAAGGAGGGTAAAGGGGATGTTTAACTGGTACAGTTTCCAGGGTGTAGATAAAAAGTACAGATCCTGTGGTGCACGATGTGAAAATACTTAACACTACTAAATTGTACACCTAAAAATGATTAGAATAACAAATTTTATGTTGCACTTCTTACAATGAAAATGAACTTTTCTTCTGTCCTAATCCAATGTAACAAAAAGATAAAGTGAAAACCAGCAGAAACAAAAGGCTTCAACAATGTAAAAAGAAGTAAGAAAACAATAAAGACAAACAGAGGCCCTGTTTATTAAGTTTCCTCTTAATTCTCTTAACCTGGAAATACTTGAACCCGCAGTAAAATGTCATCCCATCGGCAAGGCAAAACGACAGTAGTTAAAGGCCGTTTGGAGATAAAACTCAGCTTACTCTTCTGACTTTGCCACTTACTGTACGACCTTGGGCAAAATATTTTCATTCACTCATTCATTCATTCTTTTGCCAAAGTCTCTGCACATGGGTTAACCTGGTCAAATAATCCTGTACCTGTACATGGTACTGTTCTGAGGAACAAATGAGGGTCATTAAAATACTAGGCACAACTCTTGGCGCTTTGTGAGTGTTGTGTTGACTGTATTACCTCGAAGCCTAGAGAGTTAGACAATGAATAAGGTGAATTAAAGTGGGGTAAGTCCATACGGAACTTGCGGGTACTTACGGTGTCCTATCAAGCCAGACACTCGAAATCACTAATAACTTCACCATCCCTGTCCAAAGTGGAGCTGTCTTGCAAAGGACTCTCCCTATCCCTGGGAAAAGCAGTGTCATCTAAGGTATTCGAGAGACTGAAGGAACAGCTACATACAGAGCCCAGGGATGGTGAAGCCCACAAGCCACTGGAGTCCCGCTCCTGTCACTTCAGAGGGGCCTAGGCTGATCTGGGGAGGGGACCCGTCACCCAGCACCCCGCAGCGCCCCGCCAGTGTCCCCGAGGGCTGGAGCGGCCGCGGCCCGCGGGGCGGAGGGCG